TTTTTTTTTTTTTTTTTTTTTCAATGAGTAGATCAGATTCTGCCACTTTGGAGAGAACTTTCTGTGTTGGTTTAACTAACAAAGCACTCTCCTCTTATCTTTCTGCTGCTCAGTGCTTCAGATCTAGGTACTGGAATTTTATAATGTTATTGAGTCAGCATAGCTAAATAGCTGGTCTTGCCTGAAGGTTGACATCCTTTGGACCCTACAAGAAAAATATCAGCCAGCTACTGATGCTACTCTGGTCTAACAGCCTGTAGACCACAACCTTTCTATATTTTGTGCTCTTTAAAGCATGCATGGATATGGCTTCCTGTAGTCAAGAGGTCACCGGTCTGAACTTTTTGTCACTGATTCCTCTATTAAATGTTGGCTTGTGTAAACTGACTCTTACAGACGATAGGAACCTCTCTTCAACAGATGCAGTTATGACGAGAAGATCTGCCTGCACTGTTAGTGCTGAGTGGAATCAAAAGAAAAGGAAAGTGTGGTGCTCAGGCCTCATGAGAAGTTGCACAAAACTTTTTCTGACAAAGTAGGAATGTTGGAAATTTAGTAGGCAATAGGAAATCTGCAGTGGTGCTCGTCTTAAAGAAGAAAGCATGTGCCCAGTGCAGAGATTTGACTGTACTGTTTATGAGTATTATGAGAATTTGTTCTGACTATTAGAATGCCTTGGCTCCTGTCCATGGTTGATGTAAATCTGCAATTCTTGCTCCTCCTTCTAGTTTAGCATCTGGGAAATAATAAATTCCTTCTACTTAAAGTGGAAGAAAACCAGCTTCTGAAAACACTGGTTTTAGATTCTTCTGTGGATAGGTTTTTTATTTCAAGGCACTTGAATTGAAGAGTTTTGTTGGTGCCTTTTCACCATCCCAGTTATATTATTTAACTGATGTACCTCTGAATACTGCATTGAGAAAACAATCTGGGTGGGAAAAAAAAAATAACAATCCATGTTTAACATTCATGTACTATAGTGCTTCCTCAGATCCACCTGCTTTTGACTTAGATGACAGAAGTGAGCAACGGCTCTATTTCACATGCTATTCCTGGCCCTAGTGTCTGTAATGGACTTGAATCATCAACAGTCTGCCTGTAGATCCTGTTAAAGGATCACTTCCTGCATGGTAAATATGAGCTTTGTTGTACTGCTAACAGAGGTAAATTACATTAACATCATAATGAAGTGGTTGCTTATATTATCAGACATCTGTAAGTCAAGAATATATTTGGGTTGTGCTCATGTCCCTCCTTGATTGGAGTGTTATGTCAAACAGGAGGAAAAAGTAGTGGGTTTTTTGCTTATTTTTATTGTTGTTTTTGCTTTACCTAATTTTGAAAGCATTTGAAAGAATGTTGTTGTTGCTGTTTTTATGCATGTGAGCCTGAGCTAAGCCTTGTTCTTGTTTTTTGTGTTTTTAAACTATCACAAATTAAGCACTGTTAGAAATTCTTAACCCACTTATATATCATGTCTAAATTTCAATTATGAAATCTATTAACGTTGCAGAGTGACAGTCGGTGAGTGTTCATAATGGCTAATGGGCTGTTCTTTAATTAAAAATAATGTAGTAAGGTAGTATTGTATTGGGAAAGGACATGGTGTTCATAAGTTAACTTGCACTTGGAAAATTCTGTGCAGCATATGCTTGATTACAGCAAATGATGGCTGAGCTCAGTGGGCACAGATGCTGGGATGAAGGTATTCTGCAGTTGAGGCTGCATGATACATTTGTTCTGTATTTTTGTTTACAGTAGAAGAGGAAACTTTTTTCAGTACTGATTTAAAACAACCTTCTGGTTATTCAGAATATAGGTAGTGTTTGTTTTAGCCTTGATAAATTTCCAAGGGTGTGGAAGAGAGACGAAATAACTTAGAATAATTATGTTCCTTGACATTTGAATGAGTTTGTGATATCAGTTGGTCACTGCACTTAATTATTTGCTCTTCAGTTCAGGATGTTCCTCTTGACATCAGAATGGCATTGCTGCAGAAATCAAAGCAAGATGAGCAATGTGTGTTTTGTGATGCAGGCCTAGAGAAGTAAGGCATTATACATGCTATGTAAAACGCCAGGCTCTCTTTACCTTTTTAGAAGGTTGATAAATATGGATCTTTCACTAAAAAAAAAGATACTATGGCTGTAGAATACAAGTGAATATAAATATAACAGATACAGCATATTAAGGACATGGAATGAGATTTTCTTTTCAATAAACTGTAAGCAGTGGATGATAGTGATGGTGTGTTTGGCAAAGAGTATCTAGGCACGTAGGCGATTGACCTTACAGATACTGATTCAAGTGAAGGGAAAAAAGTTGTTTATATTACATTTTCCTCCCTGGCATGGACTCTGAGAACTATCTGGGTTTTGGCGATGCTATCAAATGATTTGCATTTCCTGGATTGTGATAATAGCTTTTCAGATAATTTCTAAAGACAGGTGGTGGTGGTTGTTGTTTTTTTTTGGTGATTTTCAGAATCCTGGGGTTAGGACTGCAGAACATGAGGGATGCTGCAGCTTTTGATAGGTGGGTGTGGGACAGCTTCTTCAATTACAGTGATTCTTACACATGTTCAAGTTCAGCCTTGGCATAGATAATCCAGCAAAATCACTGAATGCCAGTAGGATTTTTTGCATATTAAATGCAAACATGAAATAAAATCCAAATTAAATTCAGAAACAGATTTTTTTTTTTTTTTTACTGTTCAGGAGGCCATACTGACTACAGACTATTAGTTGTCTGAAGACCTTATAATTTTGAAAGTAACTGAGAGTTCTTTTCTTATCATCATAAGATTAGAGGTAATATTGTGCTACCTGAATTGCTTTGTTTCCCAGCAAAATTTAACTTCAGTTAATTTAAATAAATTGTGTGTTTAGCCTGTTTAAATACTGTATTATGGTCTGTTGTTTCTATTGGATTTATGGTACTTTATCAGTGAAGATGACTGTGTTTGCCAGACATGATTTGTGGGATACCATGAGGATGCCCAGGGGCCACTCATGGTCAGCTGCTTTGTGTTCCTTGAATGAGCAGTAAGGGGAGCCTTGGTACCAGGCAACAGAAACAGAGCTGGTGTGGCCAAGGGCTGTGCCACTGAACAGAGCCAGAAGCAGAAGCGAAGCACTGGGTGCAGTCCCAGAGCTATGAGGAGTTGTGGTGCCTTTGAGGAGAGTCTGTGGAGGTTGTGGCACCTTTTGACTTCATGTAGCAGCAGGCTCTTCTAAAGAAGAACCTTTGGGATGTTTATGTGGCTTGTGCTCATAGGCAGTGATTTTCAGTTTATTCTGAAATAGTTCTAAGGTTTTCTGCCACCGTTGATCATAAATTGAATCTTCTGGATGCAGCTGTGGGTGAGAGATGTGTTGGTGCTTTTCTGTAATACCTGGGTCTTTCAGTTCCATTGAATGTAGTTTGTGCAGTATCCCAAAGGACAAAATGCTTAAATCTTTTCTCTCCAGAGTTATGTTTTGCTATATTAGATTACTGAACAACAACTTCAAATCCAGATGTTACTAAGATTCTGGAGCAACGCTGGTAGAATTGCTTGCTTTTAACTTGCAGCTTTAAGAAACTAAAGGCTGCTTAGATGCAGCACTGTTAATCTGTGGCAAGTATTTAATTAACGTAATTTGTAGTAGATTTGATGAAATTAAAGTAATGGCATTTAAGATGGCTTGTTTCATAGAGTAACAAAGGAAAGTGATGCCATGGCAAGAGATCCCTCTTGCATCTTCTTCCCTTTACTATGTTAGGAGTTAACTATTCAGGACAACTGTCATTACTGTCACTGGCTGGAAAATCCATGATATTGCTACAGTTAACATATCATGAAGTTGCTTGTTTGATTGCAGTTGCAATTACTATTTCTTTCCTTTTTTTTCTCTAGGTGGCGTTTCTTTTTTAATGCAGTAGTGTCATTACCTGGCTGAAGACTAAACATGAGAATAGCAGGTAAGCACGCTCACTGAAATCAGACTTTTGTCCTCTGTAGAATAAGGTGTGGACAGCTTTAACAAGTTGTGACAATAATAGAATGTTTTAAAGTAAACTTAAATAGAACAGCGACTCCTGTTCTGCCAGTTAACTGAAACTTGTTTGAGAATTTGGATGGTCTAAAAAGGAGCAGCTGGTTACAAATGCTTCAGCTTAACTGTGGTGGCAGCTTAAAGTGCTGTGATGTGATCTTTGGCTGCTAATCATGTTAAGACCTTGAAAGAATAAGGAAATGGTGAACGAATGGCTTCTTCTCTGCCCCACACCATGACCAAAATTGCTATGCACTTGTTAAATACAGTGTCTGAAACTTCCTGGATGGTTACAGAGGGTTTGAAAGCTGTAAAGGTAAGATACTTCAGTACATGTTTGAGAAACTGATTTCATTAGGCAGAAGGTGTAGCAGTTATAAAAATAAGATCTCATTGCCAGTATAGTATTACAAGAAATTATTACTTTAGGCACTTCACTTCAGCAGAATAGCCTGTACATTTGTGAACAGTTCTGATGTTCTGAAGTCTTGCACTTTAATCAAAAGCAATAATTAATGTTGCAGAAGGAACAGTTGTTGACTTACCCAGGAGTCAGTAACACTTGCTTTTCCAGAAGGGTTGCACTTTAGCCTTGTTGATACATCAGTCCTGATTTTTTTTTTTTTGTTACTACAGTTAAGGTGGTTGTTGGATGGTGTATTTTCAGAGCCTCAGTGAGTGTAACTGGGAGCAACCCATTAACACAGAACTGCTAAAGAACTGGGAAAATGCTGTAATTTTTAAAAGGCTGAAAAATCACCTGAAAGATGACTTTTACAAGCCTTACTTCTTCCCTATTCCAGCTAATTATTTTTGTAACTATGTCCTACAAACAAAAAGATGTGACAGTTCATATAGAAGATTGAACCTGTAGCAGACAGGCTTGCTTTCATTCAAATGCTGCAAGGATATTCAAGATTTCCTACCTCCTTTAAGTAAAGGGAGCATTTAAAATTCAATTGAGTAGAAGAAGATGTAGGTGGGAGAGGTCAGCTTGTGTTTGTACTCATTCATCACGCATGCTGTCTACAGAAACAAACTGCTCTCTACTTACTGCTTTCCAAATTCTGGTACCATCTTCTTGAGTAAAGTTACTTCAAAGTTTTTTTTCTGCTTCTTGTTGTACATTTGGATCATCTGTTTTCTCTGCTTGCTTTCCTTCAGATGCAGTTGTCTTTGGGATTCCATTGTAATATTTTTAAATCCAGTTTGCATCTGTGCTTTCTTACATAGCATACATATACTCACACATGCAGTCCAAATTGTAAGCAAACAGAGAAGTCATATCTTTTTAATTTCTTTCCTTTTTTTAGCCTTTGGAAAGATTAACATGTCTCATTCTTACGAAGGCTGAGTAATCTGTCTATTTTAAGATTTTTCTAAACAGCCTGGTTTAAGATTTGAAGGAGTGCATAATCTTTTGTTCTGGAGGATTTATTTGGCTGGCCATCTGAGGAACAGAAGCATGCATAGCATTGCTTCTTCCAAACAATTCTTCATACGGAGGTGAGAGAGGAAGATGGGATGTTCATCAGATTATTTCTCACTTAATTTCTGCTTTCAGACAGTCATTAATATACAATAATCTGAGAGCAAAATATTCTGCAAAATGTATTGCTGAAAACGGCAGGGTTCATGGTAGTACCACATGTAGGTTTCAATTTCAGATTTAAGTTGCTGTGGTTGTAGGCTTCTGCTTTTGTTTTTTCCTAGGAGGTGGCTGGACCACTTAGTGCTGTCTTAAATTAGGCTTGTTAAAACTTTAAGCTTCCAGAGTCTGTAGCATATTAAAAGTGGGAAAGGTGAGATACTGCTTTTCATTACTTTTTAACTTAGAACTTCAATGTTTTCTTACTCTTTTTGAAGACCAGAAATTTAATTTTTTTAATGTAATGTTCAGACCTGACTGGCCAAAGCAGCCATGCTACAGTATATCAACAGATCCATAATCACTTAGTCTAGTTACACATTAAAACAGAGCTGTCTTAATCTGAGGCTAAAGGCAGAAAGGGAATATTTATAAACAGTGAGAAATGTGGACACATGGCTAAGAACTAAGAGATTGGAGAGAGCACAACTTTCCACTTTGGACAACAGCAACTAAAGTCAGCTTAGTTTACTTCATTGATCTGGGTTTTCATACAAAAAAAAAGTCTGTGGTTTTTCTTGGTTGCTGAGTTTGGTAAATGATGTCAGGCAGTGTGGCATGAAACATGGAGAAAGAACAAGGTGAGACTTCATGTCTGAGAGCAGGGTGTGTGTGTCTGGTATAGCAGTTTAACTGAGTGGCTCAGTTGCATCCTACGTTATAATTCTCATTTCTTGCAGATCACTTCTGTATGGCAAGTTTCTGAATTCAACATCTTAACATCCTGTCACTTTGTACAAATTTCTTGTGTAGTTAATTTTGAAATCTTACAGTTAACATTTACAGATAATTTATTTTTTTCTCCATTTTTGAATAGGTGCTGCAAAGTTGATAGTAGTCATAGCAATATTTTTATTGACATTTTATGTCATATCTCAAGTGTTTGAAATAAAAATGGAAGCCAACTTAGGACACATATTTGGTAAGTGGTAACTATTTTCTGCAGACACCTGTTGATATTTGTTTGAGCCATAATCAAGAATACAATATTCTTTTGCTATAAGCTTGGCTTAGGCTTTTAAACTTAAGAACAATTGTGTTTATTTTAATGTATTTTAATGTTATTTTCCATATTAGATATTTTACCTTTCTTAATTGGTTTAATCCTTTTCACTTCCAACTGTGCATAAACTCTTACCTATTTTTTTCTGCTAAGTCTGGCAGTTTAAAAAAAAAATCTATTTTTGGTGGGATTTCTTGCTTGCATTGTTACACTTCCATGTGCAATAAGCAGAATGTTTCAGATGTGATGAGTTGTGTGCAAGAAAAAAAAATTACCAGCTTAAATGATTTGATGTTCAGAGATGGCCACCTTAATCTTGAAAGGGGCTTTTAATTAGGAAAACCCAATTTTAGGTATGCATGTATGTATGGTTCCTGTTGCTGAACTGCATTACTGCAGTGTGAGCACATGTCTGAACCAGTCACCAGGAACATCACTGATAACTATTGAAGAAACGTGGTTGATATTAAGTATTACAGTGCTTTTCTCATTCCATGAAAGGGAATAATGCATGATTTGCAACTTGGATGTATCTGTAGCTGAATTTTGGTGTTAGGTAAAAGGAATTGCATCGTGGTGAAGGTTCTGATTTGTAGTAATTACTTTTGGCTGGATAAAGTTGAGTTGAAAGAAAGGAGCTAATTTCACTTCAGTGCTCAAACTTCCACAGATCCCTGGTTTTGAGTTGAATCTCTGTGGTTCTTTATTTTAATCAGTGACTCGTAAATTAAGGTAGTACTTCTAAATATGGTCCCTGATGATGCGGCTTTCATTTTTCTACCACAGGAAGGTTAATGCTTTACAGTGGAACATTGTGCTCATGTGTATTTGATACTCATTTCAAAAACATTATTTTTATAGAAGTACAGAAAGTTTTTTAAATTTATAGGGTATTTTATTGCAGATGACATTTCAATAGTAACGTCTTATAAAATCTTTTTTCTGCATTTCAGCTAGATCAGCATTGGATGCAGCTGCACGCTGTGAGTATTCATATGCATGTGTTACTGCTGTCACTTGCTTTCACTAATAGCAAAAAGAATTTTGGATTTTTCATAGTTAAGAAAGTCTTAATCACACTGTAAATGCAATCAAGCTACTTCTCCCCTTTCCCTGATTTTCCTTAGCTCCCGGTTTTCTCTAAAATCCAGTTTTATTTCCTTTTGAAAGCTACAAAACCTCCGAGATACAAATGTGGGATCTCTAAAGCTTGTCCTGAAAAGCATTTTGCATTCAAAATGGCAAGTGGAGCAGCAAATGTAGTTGGACCTAAAATTTGCGTAGAAGATAATGTGTAAGTATTTTTATCTGTTGTCAAAGTACATTTTTCAACTCTTGTCTTGAATTCCTTTGCATGCTAAATCAGAAACCTGAATGATTCTTTAAGTTTTGGTTTGCCTGCAGTATGACACATGAAAAAATTATACTGCTTTATAACTTAATCACCGATGAAACGTAATACTCTGTAGTAAATGTTGAAATCTATGCTATTTTAATATGTATAAGGTAACTTACACTTCATTTTAAATTTTAGTTATTTATGGAATAGTCAGACTTTGTGAAGTTGGAATACAGTTTTTACCACTAAGGAACTCGTGTCTCTAATTGTAATTCATTGAACAACTGTATTTTATGTACTTACTCTTAATACTTTTAATTGAACGTCATTAGCTAAAACTATCATGGAATTTTCTCATGTAAGTCATCGTTTAAACTATCTGTTTCTACTGTACCAATAACAGAACATATTTTCCACTTCTCTTTAATAGATGACTTCAAAAGGAAAAGTATTTTAATGATCAGTAATTCCTGTTGTCACACTTAAATAAAGACAATAAAATGAGAATTTAACTATAAAATCATTTAAGATCTTCAAGGTCTTTTCCAGCCTCTAGTCCCTTTATAAAACCACATCCTTCGGTTCAGAGCCCACACATCTCTTTTAAGGCCCTCTAGGGATGGGGATTCCACCACTTCCCTGAGCATCCCATTCAAATGCTTGCAGCCATCTTGCTGGAGGAATTCTTCCTAATGTCGCATCTAAGCCTCTCCTGGTGCAACTTGACTGTTTTCTTTTCTCTTGTAACTTCTGAACAAAGAAACTAACACGCTCCTCACTGCAACCTGCATTCACATCAGTGAAATCTCCCCTGAGCCTCATCTTCTCTAGGTTAAAGAACATCAGTTCTCTCAAATGTTCCTCAAAACTTTTGTTTTCTAGTTCTTTCATCAGCTTTGTTGTTCTTCTCTGCAAAGGCTCAAATCCATATACTTCTTGTAGTGGGGGGCCAGAACCTGAACGCAGTACGTGAGGTATGGTCTCAGTGGTGCTGCATACAAGGGGACAGTCTCTTCTTTAGTCCTGCTGGCTGTGCTGTTTCTGATTCGGACCAATATGTCATTGGCCTTCTTGGCCACCTAGGCGTGCTGCTGGCTCACATTCAACCAAATGCTGACCAGCAGCCCCAGGTCCTTTTCTGCCAGGCAACTTTCCAGTCACTCTTTTCCAAGCTTTTGTACTGCTGCATGGGGTTGTTATGACCCAAGCGTGGGACCTGGCACTTAGCCTTGTTGAAGAAAAGAACTATTTGAAAAATGATTCAAGTCTTTTATTTCTAATGATGGTTTTCTTAACACAGTATGTCTAAAGTATTTAGCTGAGTATCTGTCACTAATCTTCATAACTTCAACAGTAATGTTTATTTTTAGACTTTCTTTGCTCTTAGGTTGCTACTGTTTGTTGTCAACTACTGCATTGTATAGTACAATCTATATGCTTAACCTTGAACGTCGCATGGCAGAAAAGACATGCTGTAAACATAGTCAATAGTAATTGGCTTCAATTGTTTTACTGTCAGTTACACTAATTAGCCATTGCTGTCCATTGGCATTTAAACTATTCCAGTTTTCTGAGCCCCTGCTCTGTAAGTGGTGTGGCCAAGATACCACCTACAGCAGTCAGTGCAAATTCTAGAGCAAATCACAACTTTTCTGTGAACAGTGTAACCCCATGCAATAGAGATCTAAATACTAATCCAATTTATTGTACGACCTTTAAGTATTGTTTTATATTCTTTGTTACTTTTTCTCTAATTAAAGTAATATATTAAGATTAGTTGCACTTAAGCTAAAAGAGAAGATGACTACTAGCATTGCCTCTAGCAATTAAGCTGTAGTGAAGTTGAAATGGGAACTTTTTCCTTACAATGAAACCCGTGCAGCATCTTCACTTTGCATCGCTGGTTAAAACTTGAGTGCTATTCAGATGTCAAGGCATTTTTATGCAAAGCTGACTTAAATGAAGCTTTTCTGTTTGTGTAGAACTCCATTTCCAGTGGTGCATTACTGTGTAGTACATGTGCAAAATGAGCATGAGCTCATGCTTAGTGCATACTAACTAAAAGCTGCTAGGTTCTATTTCTCTTAGCATTGATTTCCTTTATGACCTTGGACAGTCTTATCCAGTGTCTCTGCAGAGAGATTTTTGTTTCTGTTACAAAGTTGTCAGCATCTGAGCCTGGTTGCTAGGAAGCTTCGTATCTGAAAACACTTGGGGTGATTCACTGATGAGAACTTCTGAGTGCAAGTAATATTTTAACTTCAGGATGGTAGGCTTCTTAAATGCCTTGCTTACTAAGGAGAGGTGGTGGTTCATGTCCAAAAAAACAAACAAAAAAACCCCAGCAACCGCAAACTGATGGATATTTCACTTAAAGAAATGAAAGGAAAGCAGTAGCTGTCAAGAAATTCTCTGTTCTGTTTATATTATTGCACAGTTTAGTGCATAACGATTGGAGTTTAAAGTTCTGTCTCGGTTAGAAAAAATCTTTTCTAATTACTTCTGGGGAATAAGATTTTAATGTCTATTAAAGTGTACATCAGAAAATTTGATTATTTTCATATGATCTTCTGCATTGTTCATAACATATTTGATTTCTCATTTGAAAGCTCATGTCATTTCTTGAATGTGATTTTTTTGGTAGAATTCTAAAATTGATGAACTACTGCCCTCCTGTGATAAAACATTCACATTACACTCAGTAGTATTTTTGGCAACACACAATCTCAGGTGTGTAGAATAGTATCTCAGAACTGTAAAGTAATCTATTTCCTGCTTGATAGATCTTTTTATAACAATGTTTTTTTTAACCTGTCACATGCAAGATGTGTTTTTCTAGTTAATTTGCAATAGCTGAGTTTTATGTAAAATTCTTCTTTGTATGTCCAAGACATGGAAACAGGAAGATGGCTTCATAAATTGTCAGTAATATTTACAGTATAGGTCTTTCCTCTATATTAAACGAGGCTATTGTTAGATTTATGAAAGTACTGAAATGGAAATTCTGCTTTATAGAAGTTTGATTACAGTACACCATCCAGATTAGAAAACATACCACAGTTATTTTCAAAATATGAACTATTGTGGTTGCTGCTTTGACAGGCTTAGAAGCAGTAGAGTTATACTTCTTTACCAGCACTTCTCCATGCAGTTTTTCTTCTGTTAAGAAGCCAGTTCCATATTTGTGCCATAGTAACCTTAGAGCAGAATGGCACTCTGCACTGCTATAATAACAGTTACTTCTGTCACTTGTATTCACAGGATATTTTCTTATCTGAAGTCAGTTATAACTTTGCTGAAATATCACACACACATAAACATCTAATCACCTCAGTATTGGATTTTTTTTTACTTGCATTTATTTATAGAGAACTTAGTAGTCTGAAAGTGAAAGGAAATTGGTATTCTTTTTGTTGAATTCAGATACACTAAATCTCATGTAAGCATTCAGAACATCATTGTTTTTTGTTTTTCATTTTTTTCAATCTTTATTTGTCATATGATTCTATTGCTTAGTGTTGATGCCCAGACATGACCTGAAAATGATGTGGTCGCAGAAGTAATGTCCCTCCAAGTGCTGAATGGATTTAGAACAAATTCCAGAAGCCCAGTTGGGAATTCCCTATTAAACAGAACTGAATTCTGTATTTCAGCAGAAAATTGCAAGTCATCTGTCTTCAAAGTTATTGAATTAGTTTCATTTCTAATCAAGTAAGGCTTTTTTTGGTAGATGATATTTAGAGGGTTAACATAAGAATATGGGACATTTCATCTCTGATTACTACTATTTTAAAATCCAAGTCACTATACTGTGAGTTGCTGTTAACTCGTAGTCTTTCACTTAAGTGCCAAAGATGGTGTCTAAGAGGAAGGCTGTCATTTTTCTGGTAAAACAATTCTTGTTTCTAGCCCATGATTATTATAAGAGAGCTGTTGTTGCAGTTCTCTGTGCAAGGACATTTCCTTCTGAAACGTTGCTTAGGACAAAAGAAATTACCTGAAAAAAGTTCTGTAGATAACAGATTTGTATAGGCTTGCAGTCCCTTAGAGTAAGCTAGAGAAGTTAAAGTGACCTTAGTCACAGTGGAACTACAGCATTTGCTAAAGTATGCTTAGAAATGATGAGATGTGCATCTCTGCTTTTTCTTAAAGCTGAGCTGAAAGCTTCTTCATTATCTTCATACAACTTCAGTCCTTGTTCCTGTTTCTCCTTGTTTATGCTAATACTTTGACTCTCAGCTTTGAAATAGTAATGCTGGGAAATGCAGGGCCTGTGGGTAAAACAGAGATCTGTGTGGTGCCAATGAGAAAGGAATGAGCTGGTTTTGTAAGCTTCTTCACATTGGAGTGATGTACCGACCGTGGCCCAAGGCAGCACAGCACTGTAGCTGAACAGTCTTGACATTCCCTTTAGCTCTACTTTACAGTTCTGAATAGCTTACATTTCACAGTGTATCAGTTCTTTCCAAGCTCCTTGCTGCTTTGAGTTTGGCCAGTTGCTGTTATAGATTGTGGTGATTTTGTTGGGATGTTCAATTCTACTTCAAAGTTGCATTCAGTTTTTATTTAAAGTCCTGTCATTGCATTACTATTTCTGGTTTACTTTTATGCTGCTTGGCGGTTCATGATCCTTGAGGTCCCTTCCAACCCTGGCCATTCTGTGATTCACCAAACTAATTTGCCTTGACTTTCTTGTTTAGTACCACGGTCCACAATTCTGCAACATCCATTTTAAATCCTTTGATTCATTTAGGCTTTAAACTCATTAGCACATTTTTGCTTACAGAAAAGCTTAAGATGTTGGTTATGTGGCTGTACTAAGCTCTTCAAATAGTTCTTTGTTCAATGCATTTTAACTGCAAGGAATTTTCTCAACTACATTAATAGCACTTTATTTTTTGTGGCATTTTTAATATACTCATAATTTGAGCATTTAATCATCTTCTTTCCATAGAAGATGGATACAATTAGGGTCATCAGAGCTATTGTTCCCAAATCAGTGGTGCCATAAGGACACATTTTGCTTTAAATATTCATGGAAATGTGTGGTGGTCTTTTACAACATGATTTTATTTTAAAAATAATTTAAAATGAAATATTTTACATGAGAAAATAGTTCTATTACTAATTAAATTGTTTATTTTGTTTCAGATTAATGAGTGGAGTTAAAAATAATGTTGGCAGAGGAATAAATGTGGCTTTGGTCAATGGTGAGTGACTTTCTAAGTGAGCAGTGTCTTCATTTTCAAATTCTTCGTGAAGTTTAAGGTCTGCTAAGGTGGTGAAAAGTAAAAAAAGAGGAGAAGAGGAGTACTCAATGTATTTGTACTGAAATAATGTCAGATTTTGCCATTTCAGTATTTTAGTTGAATGCTGTTGTATTCAGTTGTATACTGCTTGAAAGCAGAAAAACTTGATGCAATTTTTTTCCTACAAATGTGGAATTCCATGATGGTTATCTCAGTGATACATCAAGTAACTTCCTGATACACATGGGATGGTAAAATTGCTGTCTCTCTTGATTTTGTGTATTGCCACTGTAAAATTCTCTACACCAAATTCTTCTGTTCTCAGAGAAATCCATTTAGCAATTTTATTACTACATGAAAGGAACCATTCATTATTCACTAGTTTGAAATCATTAGATTCTATTATTCTGTATTTGTAGATCTTGTCCATGAATGCATCCATGTAAGATGTATTCAGGAATTTTAATTTCATCAAAAATAAACAGATTTACCTGCGTGTCAGCTTCAAGACTGAACATCAGTACTGACATTTCTCCTTAATATGTAGGAAGCAATTCTTTGTAGTGCTGAGACAGCACTTTATCATTTTGCTGCAATATAAATTAATGTTATTTTTGGGTTGCACTCAGGTTTATGTAATCTAATGCATGACTTAAACAATACCTAACCCAGTTTTGCTTTCCTCTGTTGTCTTAGTCAAAACCAAGCCACCTTATTCTGTCATGTAATTCCCAGTCTTTCTCGTCTTCTGAATTTTATATGAATGTATCTATTAAAAATGAAACTCTACCTTCCATCAAATACTGACTTTGTAGGCAGGAAAAATACTAATGTACATATACCAATCACTTTCTTCTCTATTTGTACCAGAAGTTTAAATCAACTAGGAATTTCTAATTTGTAGCAAGACTTGCTGAGTAGTTTTGATTTTTCCTGCTTCCTCTGCAGTATTAAAAGCAACCTATAACTGTGCTGTCTTCCTCTTTTTATCCTACAAAAAGCACCTAAAAAAAGTAAATTCCCCATGAATTTGTGAAATGTATTTTCTTTATTACTATTTTTTGAGGGTGTTTTTCCAATATTCTACTTGAAGCTAAATCAGAAATTTGCATCTTTTATCATTTTTCCCCCTCTTTTCCTGCACCTTTTCACAAACTGCTGTGGTTAAGGAGTGGTCTTTATGAAAAATAACAACACTTGATGATTTATGTGGCGTCTTCCACAGCACTTTCTCTCTTTCTCTGACTGTAATTGAAAGGAAGTGGGAATGTTGTCTCTGGAGTAACTTATGGCTTTTTCCTGACCAAACATTTCTTTTTCTTCAGGTAAAACAGGAGAACCATTAGACACTAAATTCTTTGACATGTGGGGAGGAGGTAGGTGCAGTTCATCTAGCTGGTTAGAGAAAAACCATTTCTGTGTTAATGTCTTTGTTCTCTTAAGTTCTGTTTGCTGTAGTATTTTAAGCCTTACGTCTGCCTTTGTAATTGTGAGGAGGATGCAACTTCAGATAAACGCACATAGGTGGTGTGGGAGAGGAGAAGGGAACTACTCAGGAGAGTAAGCATGTACCAACTAGCAGTCAGCTTTATATAGACAAAAGCCTTTCTATAAAATGAGAGTTCATTCTTATGCTTTCTGTTTTCCTCTTCCACTAAAAACATCTGTGCATAAATTTGAGTGTATTTATAAGTATTAAAAGAGGTCTAATGTTACAGATGTTTAAATAGCTTATGATTGCTTATTATAGAGATTTTGTTTTCTTTCGTTTCAGATGTGGCACCATTTATTGAATTTCTCAAATCCATACAGGATGGAACCATCGTGCTTATGGGGACATACGATGATGGTGCAACCAAGTATGTCATTGATTTATGCAGTGAACATTGACTAAAATTTTAAATGTTGCTTTTAATTGCAATCACTTCTGATAAAGTTTTGTCCTTCCACAACAAGGCATTTGAAACTATCCTTGTCTTGCGTGTATCCCATCTTTTCTAAGGTCTGAGAGTTTTTATTAATGTGAGCCTTGTGCTTGTGAGCCTCAAACTTTTTGAAGTGTTCTACTGTAAGCTGTTCAGCCTGTCAATACAAATACAGCTTAAGGGGTTTTAATGTTCTTTATGCAGTATTTTCCAACCTTCTCAACTTCGATCATCTTTAATAGATACTGAAATTACTGTAGAAAATTGTATTGTCATTAATTACTTAAGTCATGCTATCAGAAGGAATTTTTTTAATAGAGAAAATTAAGGTTTTTTTTAATTTTCCTCTGTTATTTTAACATTACTTACACTTAAAATGTGTACTTTTTTTTTTTCCCCTTTTCTGGTACAGTTTGTTATCCGTGACCTGTCTGTATTTTGATGTTAGAAATAGCTTTCCTATGACAAAGTCCTGACTATACAACATGTAGTATTTTCAGTAACTGGTTGAAAGTAACTTTGACTGCCTTAGGGAGATGAAAGCAATTTAATGTTTCCTTATCAGAAGGCTAGATCTCCTAACTGTTGTTCTTCAGCATTTAGATAATAAGTTGTTAGGTTTTTTTAATCATGTCTCTGCTGATGTTTCCTAAAACTAAACAGAAAGGTGAGTTTGGCACATTTGTGCTGACAGCCAAGAACCACTCATTAGTGGTATTGCAAAATTAACCAAAAACTTGTGGTTGCAGCTTTAGAGTAACCAAAAAGGCCAAACTGCTTGAAAGCAACTTAAAAAGTGAAGAACCATCATGTTTAAAAGATAAAAATCTTATTGTGAGTGTTTTGGTGGTGTGTTTTTTTTTTTTCTTCTTGCTTTTAATATAAGCTGTCTTCATGCTTTGGAAGCTTGGAGTGTGGGTGGTGCAGATAGCCTCCAAAGTAAATTATTTAATCATTTCTATCATTCTGGTTAAGGTGAGTCATACAACCATATCTCATTAAGTAGAAATAATGAGCTGTTGTACTGAGATCCTATCTGTTACAGAATCTTTTTCATTTTTGTATTTAAAATAATCTTGTATGGACCTATGGGCACTGAACCATAACCATGCTGTGGGGACAGCAATTCTCACTTCTGAGTTAATTAATCTGAACAGACAAGAACTTTTGTGTATTTAGGTCATTCTTTTAACCTAAGAGAACTATTTAGGCTTCAACTTCAGTGTGTAAATAATGGTTATGTTAAAGATTAACTCCTCTTAGTTGCTTGGGGAATTGCTAAAATTATTTGAATTGTGTATATAAATTCTCACAAGACAGGATTCTTTGCTTTTGTTAGTGGTTTTGTATTATTTGCCTGAGATAATATCAAAGAGCAGAGCTTATTAGATCAGCCGATTACAGAACTAGCCTTATCTGATTTTAAAGACAGATCTTTCCCAATATTGACTGACTTAAATTATATTTAATCGGATTGAACTTAAATGGTGCACTGAACAGTGAAAGCTCTGAGAAGGTGTATTTTTATTTTTTTTTCCCAAGGCTTAATGAGGAAGCACGGAAACTGATTGCTGAACTGGGAAGCACATCTATCACTAACCTTGGCTTTAGAGACAATTGGGTCTTCTGTGGTGGGAAAGGAATTAAAACTAAAAGTCCTTTTGAGCAGGTCTGTGACTTCGTACGTTCTATAACTTATGTTCTGTAACTTCAGCAGCTTTCATTAAGAGACATGGCCTGTTTTATACCATGAGTCTACTCAAAATGGGTATCTACTGCAATAGTGGCATTTTCAAATTTATTTCTTGTCTATTCGCTTTCTTTTATATGTTCAAACAGATTGTGGTGATAAATCTTACCTGGGTAGGTCTTAGTATCCCAATAACTAGATGAATTATCTTAAGTGAATTCAGTGAAACTGGGAATTCAAAACTTAATGCCTAAGAGTCATATTTTAGACCCTCTAACCTCTGACAAATAAATTATTAAGGTGTTGGTTAAGCTGTTCACTTTGTTCTTCTTTCAGAAATTATTGCTGCCATAGAAGAACTTATGAAATTAAATACATTCCCAGACTTAAATAGCTACAGTTTAACGTGTCATTGTTTCCTTTAATGACTGGTAAAGATAGCTTTGTACTTGGTGAGAACTAGTGTGTGGACTAGTGCAGCAGCAGTGGCAGACTATTCAGATAGTTATGTCTTATCTGACAGCAGATTATTGATTTGTGGGGGGAAGAATTAGTTTAGAGAAGAAAAAAAGCTGGACATTCAACACTAAATTTTCTTAAAATCTGACTTTATTTTCAGCCTTGTAAATTTAGTATCCTTATTTAATATTTCCTAGTGGTTTCTGTTTTCATGTAATTGATCTTTTCCTTACTTGTTTTGCTTCCTAAGTAAACTTTAAAAATGTTTTCTCTATTATGGCTCATTTGCTTTTAGCATACGCTTACCTGAACAATTTGTTGTACTGAGGGTTTGTTATATTTGATGATAATTGAAAAAGCACAAGAGGCTACTATTGATGTCTTCTCTTTGTCTTTACAAGAAGTGCCTTTGCAAGCTGTGACTTCAAGCAGCGTGGTAGAAGACTTCATATTAACAGTCAATACTTTCTATTTGCAGCATATAAAGAACAACAAGGACACAAACAAATATGAAGGCTGGCCAGAAGTTGTTGAGATGGAAGGTTGTATCCCTCAGAAGCAAGACTAACCCTACAGAAAAGGAAAGGAAGAAAATGCACTTTCTGCTATTATTAGGGAGAGGGCTATGAAGGAGACTGTACTGTAAATAATATTTTTAAAGCATGCAGCCATCCTGTCGGTGTTTGCATGAGCACTGACATCTTGAATATTGGGATTATTTATTGCTAACACACATAAAATCCTTTTTGTAAATATGTTCAAAGTAAAAGAACATCAAATAATTTCTAAACAGATTTCTTAAAAGCACAGTATTTAGTTTGCCTATGGTGAGTATCTTGTAGACCAACTGGCTAATAAATTGCATATGCCAATAATAAACAGATCCGGACAAATGTTGTACTGTCTTCTAACATTGCTGTGAGAATGTAACCTTTGTGGAAAATATAGATTTTAGAGATAAGTTAATAAAGAGCTTTAATTTTTTTTATCCTCTGCCTTTTTAATGGCAGCATCACTTTTTATTGAAGGTAATTGGTTATTCTAATACCAAGTGCTTAAAAAAAATTTTTTTGTAGTCTCCCACCAAAACTGAATAATCCGCAAAGGAGGAAAACATGATAGTGAAATACAAATATACCATGAAAAGCACAATATAAGTTATTTTTACTAGGGGAAGAGCAAAGGTAAATGCATAAATAGCGTATGTGATACTTAAAAGCAGCTTGGAAGGATTGTTGATCATCTTGAAAATAGTACTTTCTATGTAGAAGAGTTAAACACAGTACATGTTAAACAACAATACTTGTTCAAGCAACTTGTTCATTATTTTTGTAACAATTTTTGTACTGCTGCTTAACCACTGAGTCTACATGTGGCTGTTCAGCCCTGCTGGCTAGTCACATAGTAAATCTGTGTAATGGGATGCCTTCCTGCTGTAGTGGTAACCCTAGAAATAAATTTTCCATTGCAAAGAAGCCAGCAGAAAGCAGTCTGCCTTCTAGTGAGAGTTGTCCAGGCTACAGTATTATGTATCTTTACTGCTTGTGTTACATCTAACGTGGGGTCATTTGTGCTTACAGTGATATTAGAGAAAGCGTTGCATCTTTGGTAATGCAATCTATGATATTCAAACTTAAGGAACGATGCATCTTCATTTATTTTTTTTCAATGCAAAAAAAAAAAAAAAAGGACCAAGTTGAAGTGGCCTTATTCTTCAGCTCATGTCAGAGCTATCAGAAAACAGCTTCATTTTTAGGTAGGGCCAGCTTGAACTTTCACTGAAACTAAGTCAGTGTGTTATAAATTAAATTGTTGGTATAAAAAAAATGGGGGATGTTACGGAATTGATTGTAATCTCTTGGAATTTTACATCGAGTTCTGGTTTAACCTTCAGAAACTTCCATCTAGTACTGTGGGAATAAAGCCACAGAGGATTTTTCAGGGACCCACAGTGTAAGTGGCACTCAAATGTTCCTATTGTTGATATGTCTTCTGAGAGGAACTCAATTGTATGCACTAAAAAAAAAGTCAAGCAATATTGGGAATTGCTTTGCAAGTCAACCTGTGATGTCAGAATAAGACTGGACTCTGAGCTGTTCTGTATGTTTAAGTAGCTTGTTAAATAATGTGGCTTTCCCTCAAGTTTAATGTAGAACAGCAATAAAAGCACCTTATGTGGTGAAATTGTTTTTTGTTAAATCTTTCAGATTGTCTTGTTTAGGAGGATGTGTCAAAATCATATGTATCTTTTACATCAAATAAAGTAAAACACCTCATTTCTATCCATTAAAATAAATAAATTTTATTTAATAACATCAGGTTATTGTGGAAAACTAATTGCAAAAGTCCTGAAATTTTCACATGAATAAATTTTTATTTGTAAGTAAGCTGGTATTGGTTATGCTGTTATCCAAAGTAATAATAGAAGAATTTGGAAGATACTTAGCAGAGGCTTAAAGGTGGAAGAGGTGGTGGGTTTGGTGAAGGCTGGGTGGGGGGGTGCATCTAGGAAGCCTTTGTTTGTTTCCTTGCACCACTGTCTTCTACGAAATGTAATGGAGGACATAAAAGAAGCCTGGCTTTAGTTCTAGCTTTTGTCTTTAGATTTGTGCCTTTTTTTTTGTGTCTGGCCATCAGACGCAAGCGTGCATGTTATGAATATTTAACCTGTTAAAGCTGGGTCTATCACAAGATATTTAACTACTGCTTTTAAAACAATAAACAGTTTAGTAATTGTTCTTAAATTATCTAGTTCTTGTGAAATCTCCCTCCTTTTCCCTCATTCTCTAAGTCATATCCTCGCAGCTGCATCCTTTCATTATATTTAATATTTCAGTTATACAAATGAACTCATTTTGGCCATGAAAATGAGAGAAAACAGCAAGGAGATCCCATGTTTTTTTCTTGACTTGCCACAAGATACAGTCATGCCATCTCATTCTCTACCTTGAGTGGGCTAGTTGCAGCATTTCCTTCTGTTGCAGTAAGCTTTCTGATGCTTTCAATAAACAAGACTTTGGTAATAATGCATGCTTCAAGTAAGCAATGAAGAAAAATTTTGTGTGGTTTCTCCTACATCTTGTGGTATGAACTTGCTGTTTTGTACAAGAAGCTTCATGCAAAAGTACCTGTATGACAAAGCTCCAGGATGTGTCTCTTCCTGCATGAAAGGATGAGAACATCTGCAGCACTTTGAGGACAGAGGAGCAAAGAAAGGAAAAATGAAGATGGGGAGCATGTCTGCCTCAAAAAATGTATGTGTGAGTAAAGAGGAAGGACACAAGAAGGTTGTGGCTGTTCTTCTCCAAGGAGCACTCAGCTGGGATCTGAGCCACCTGGAAACTGCTTCATTGTCTGCCACAGCTCTCAGCTGCTGTGCTAGTCCTCTTTACGTGTATGAGTCTTAAAGAAGCTGAAGATGTCTGCCTTGGAATGCCATCTGCATCTCTCCTAGCACCAAACATATTTTTCTTCTTGAAAGAGGAGAGGCTTTGATAGCCTTACTTGCTTGAGTGCTGGTTCAGAAAAGGCTTTCTGTTGCTGGCATGTTTTGTTATAGACATTAATGTGGCTTTTAGTTCCCTCAGATGTTGATGAGACTAGAAAACACTTGTGTTCATAATAGCTCCTAAACTGTTTGGATTATCTGCAGTTTAGAAGCCAAGTGGTAAATCATGAGGAGAAATAAAGTGTTAGTGCTGCATATATTGACAGGCTTTTCTGTGCACAGATGGAAGGGCCATAGCCCCTCCATAAACTGGCTGGAGTGGAGCACAGGCTATCAGGTCATTACAGGTGGTTGTGTCCTGGACCTGATAACTTGTTTCTGATGCCGTACTGGGAATGTGAGGGATGCTACTTCTTGCTTCCAGGGCCGTATACCAAAAGGATCCAACACCTGGGCTTAGCCACTTCCTGCAGCAGCCTCTATGAAGGAAGAGTTTCTTGTCTGCACAGGCAAAAATAAATATATAAATAAACGATGGAGCAGAGAAAGAAGGAATGTGCTTTACTTGAGATATTTCATTACATTTCTGATTGTCTTATCTGTGGCCTCAGAGATAAGGCAGCCTCAAGCTGGCTTAAAACCAATTGTAGTTTCTCCTCTCTGCTCCTGCAGTAGTCTCTTTTATCCTTACAGCCAAGATCTGATGCTTCCTTCACAGGCCTGTGTTTCTCAGGCGTCCCTTCCAATCCTTAAGTATCAATCTAGGATAAGTGTGATAATCTACAATCCAAATCTTTGCTGAAAATTAATGATTATTTTTTTTTACATCAATTAAAAATTGATCCCTGGCCTCATAGGTACGTAATTGTATTTTTACTTACTTCTTGACCCTGTCATTTCCTCACTAGGAAATGTGTTTATCCTTTTAAAATCGCTGTTGCAATTGCCTGTTCCCACAGAATGGTCTGTTCCTTTCTTAGGGTGTTGGCCGTAGCAGGATGCAGCCCTGTTGATGTGAGAAAAGCACTCCCAACTGAGGGAGGTCTCCTCTTTGAGCTTCATGGATAGTGGTGGAAGGGAGTACTGTTTTCCATGGAACATAGCCTGGTTATTTCTATGGTGCTTCAGCGATGACTTCTGGCTAATTATCTTAACTGGCCTTGAATATCTTAACATTGTTTTTATCAGCACTGCTTCATTTTCCCACGTATCCTGGCAGCTGAATCATCCTTGCCAACTGGACAACTGGGTGGATAATGTCCTTTATGGTTTTTATATCTGCACTCTCAAATTTTATCAAAAGCACTTAATATACGTGTGACACAATGCAGAAAACTAAACACTGTGCTAATTTTTGTGGTGTATTAGTAAATGAAATAGTCTATTTATTATTCTTTGAGATGTGTAGAAAATAAAACTTTATTTCAGGGCTGAATTGCTTATATATGGAGAGGAGTAGGTATCAGTAGAGAGTACTAGTCCAGCTGTATTGTAATAATGCACACAAATCACTGCATCCTCTTCATTAAATTTCTGATCCCTAGGGATAGCCTGAAGCAGCTAGTTAGCTCTGTTCCTCTAGCACTACAAAACAAGATGCTTGGATCAGATCCTTAGCATTGTGATTATGGGAATTGGCAGCAAAGTCAGCTCAAGGAGGAGTTACCACTCCTGATCACCTCCCTAAGCCCTCACTGGTGGGTTATTGCTCAGTTTGAGGCTACAAGTGCAGCCAGAGCTCTTGTTTGTGGTGTTTTGTGAACCGTATCACTAAACTGAACTGACCCAGGGGTCAGGGCAGGGCTGGCAGTGCAGACCCTGCCGTGTAACCCTACCTGATGCTCCAGACCTAGCTAAGATAAAATTGTTGGTGTTATCCCAGATGATACATACATTCTATAGAAACTGTGCATTTAATATCAAAATACTGTTTTGGACGTGTTGAGATATGATAACGTCGATTTAATTTCTTAGATTATGGAGCAGATTAGACTGCAAAAGACTGGGATGCTGACTTAGCTGTCAGCTGGTTTTCTGCTGCTGACGTGAGGCACGGTGCTCCTTTCAGCACAGACAATAAATGATCATCCATGTAAATAATAGGGAGTTCTCTTTTTAACCTCTAGTGTGTTGGCAGGCTTTTGCTCTTGAAAGAAATGCTCGTGGAGTGTCTTTCATTCTTTTCCACAACCAAATGCACATTTTCAGGTTTTTGTGGATAATGAGTATAGAAATCTTACCAGTCAGACTTTTCAGTGTTTTAATTGGGGCAACCTGATCTGCGTAGAACTTGGTATTTAAAAATATCAGAATAAGAAATGAGAATTTAATGATTCTTAAAGAATTAACAAGGAAAGCATGCAGCTCATTTAAAATTACACTGAATAGTCATAAAAATAGCAGGACTGATGGGAAAATGCCATGGCCAAACCCTGAGGAAGGCTATGATATTTCACCTCGTTTGCAAGCTCACCGGCAGCAGAGCATTTCAGAAGGCCTTTGGACCTTTTTATTAATGAAAATTTAGCTCTTTCTTCCATTGAATTAATCTAAACTCCATATATGTATCTGCCTTAGCCGTCCTAACTTTGTCTGTTACACCTCTTTGCTGCCCAAGGGAGGTGCCATCCACCTGCACTGCACCCAGCCCTGGACTCCACTTCTTGCCTGTGCTCCGGTGGTTCAGAATGAACTGCAGCCTTGTGCTCCTGCCTGCAGTGCTCCTCCAGCCCCAGTGCTGGCACAGCGACCAGAGAGCATTTCATTCTCTGCTGTGTAAGCCATTAATTACTTTACAGGACCATCCGTGGGATTACACAGTTGTCAATTCAGTATGACAGCAGACCCTGGCACAGTGTTAATTTCTTAAGGTAGTATTTCAGTGTTAATACTTTGTATCAATCAATGCTTCCGCATTAGTTAGCTCTAGCATTCCTTTAATGTGGAGTTCACATTTGTCAGTTGTGAAGGGAAAAAAGTGTATTTGACTTCCAGAAACGCAAACTGCAGGAGCAGTTTAGGAAAAGTAACTTCATGCAGCTGACTGCTGCGGGCTTTGCCCATCCTTGAGCACTGCACTCAGCAGCACCTGCCCAATGGCCAGAGCTGCGCAAACCCAACTGGAAAGCCAGGACTTCATGGAGTATGTTACAGGCTGAGACAAAGAGTGCCTCCTTCGGCATGGTCTGCCTCAGTGGTAGGAAAAGATGGTGTTCCTCAGCCTCCAGCATGTGCCCCGTGCTTCAGCCAGCACTACAACTCTGCTCTGAGAACACAGTCAGTCCGCGGGCATTTCTGTTCTCAAAGTGACACTTAGTTTTTCATTTCGCAAAGAGGGCACCATTATCTGCTCTTCAAAAAGTAAACCCGTGGCATTTTTCACAGGTTTGCTACTTTTCACAAACTGCTGCTCATTGCACAAGGGGCTTGGCTGTAAGGCCTTCCTCCCGCTCAAACCCTCTTGCTCAGATGAGCAAATGCACAGAGTGACTTAAAGAGAAAGGATGGGTTGTAGCAAAGCTTCAGCTCCCTCATATGACATTTGTTCAGCCATCCAAGCTTTCATAAACCACATTATTGTTTTGTAAACCGTGTTCCTACATCTCTTTGTTGTCTTTTGTCATGCTCTGAAAAAATAAACTCTTTCCCCTTTCAACCAGAAAAAAAATCTTTTATTAATAACATTTATCAACAAAACCATTTTTATTTTACCTTTTAGATCTAGGTGACTGCTCTGCAGCCTCAAATAGGAGCCACCCAAGCAGGCACTGACACCCTGAATGCATTGACCCTGTCACAACTGCCCCACTCCTCAGTGAGATGCTGATGTGCGTGCCCCTCCTGCTCCAATCCACAGAAACAGCCCTTTGAGACCTTTTCTCCTGGGCAATCCCTGAAGCTGACCTTGTGTAAAGGAGCCCTGCACTATTTCCTCCCCATTATCTAGCTAAGTCAATGCAGTAAGATTAGCCAAAAATGGAGGTCAGTCCCCAAAGAACCAGTACATAAAAGACTTCTCTTCCTGATACTCTACACAAGGCAGCAACGTAACACAACAGGTTTTGTTTCCTTCCTCCTGACCTACACATCCAATAAACAGGGATGGGGAATCTGGCCACCATCTTTCATGAGAAAATAAATGACAGCTTTGAAAGCCTCAACCAAAGTGACTCGGCAGATGTATTTCTAATAACTGCCTGTCTGTGTGGAACGAGTTAAGGGACTGCAGCCCCTCAGCAGTCCTCCTGTTGTCAGTGGGAGTCCCGCCACTTACCACTGGAGCCAAATTTCACTGTATGCAAAATGCGTTGAAAAGAACAGAAAAACTCTACAGGATAGTAATTAATGATCATTTAGAACAGCAAAATAAGTGCTTCTCATCACTGCATCACCAGTGTCACCACTGTGTCATGTCAGTTCCCCCTGCACATGCAAATAAAAATCAGTTATAGGCTGCTGCAATAGTAACAAACATCAGCAAATGCCAAAGGCTGCAATCTTAGCACATTCGTTGGAAACCTCTTACATAACTTGCATAATTTAAATATTTACAAAATATAAACTTTCTCATCTTATCAAAAATAGGTCTTTGCACATTTAAACACAGAAATCCTTTCCCGTGATGCTTTTTTAAACCAGGAATTGTATCACTGCATAAAAATAAACAACCTTTTTCAGATGTAAAATAGAATTCAACCAACATATGGAGGGGAGAAAACATTATTGATAACAATTGAAATATTTTAGTGGTGTGAGCCAATCCTTCAGTGACATTGCGCATTGAACTGATCTGGGATACTAATGAAAAGTTCTATTTGTAGCTCCTATAAGAGAATGTGATTGAAGTGTTAAAAATCTCTCATTTTATGACAGATTTATTTGGGCTGAGTTTCACATGGCTGTGAAAATGCTGGTGAACCCCAGCAGGATAGCTGAAGATGGCAGGTTAACACACACAGTCCAACACTGGGGCGGTGATGGGTTGACTGCAAACTGTGCACTTGGGTGCCGAGGAGATACCAGTGAGGGACTGCACTTCCCTCAAATAACCAAGCTGTATTTCTGTCCCTCCTCAGACCTGGCCTTTGTGCATTTGAAAAACAACTTGTACAAGACCCTGAGGTTGCTGGTTGGCACGCCATGCTCACCACATTCACTGAACTGTGCTCCAACCCCCCCCCAGATGTGGGCACAGTTTGCTCCAGGCCAATGGGCCGTCCTCTCCTATCCCACCTCTCCATAGGCACACACATTACCAGGAGCTACCAGGTACCAGGAGCTCTTCTGCACATCACAGAGAGCTTTTCAAAAGGTCACTAAGGAAATGCTTCAGGATGAACAGAACATATAGCATTCCTGTATCTTATTTTTTTTTTTGTAAGACTGGTAGAAATGAGTCATACAGCAGACCCATCTGATGTGTCTTACAAGCCTCCTAGATCTTCATCTTTTGGCTGATAAGATCTTGGGTTCTCCGCACTGTACCTGCCGACCACATTGATCTTCAAGATGTTGTGGCTATTCAAGTCCCAAAGAGATTTTAACTCTAAAATGGAGATGGCTCAAATGTGCCACTGGGAGTCTGTTGCTGTGGCTGTCCCTGTGTGCAGGCTGCTCTCCACTCGTGGCTTTCATACACCACCTGTTTGGAGCATGCCCTGTTTGGCAATGCCCGTTCCCCCGGAGGCGAATCCCTCATAGTCCCTGTCTCTAACTGCTGTCTGCATGGCAGCTGTGTGCACAGCCCGCTGTGGGGCGATTTGGCTGTTTCCGTGCTGAGCCCTACTTGCAGGTGTGTACGTCGGTCATGGTCTCGCACCGCCGGCAGCGCACGTAGCAGCACCAGATGAACTTGCACTCACACCTCTCCACGTGTCTGACCACGTGTGTGTTGTACCCGCGCCCGCAACACAGCAGGTTGCAGCCATCGGGTCCATCTGATGTGCGATTGCATTCCCTGCCCTGAGTCCCAGGGATGCCCAGTTTCTGATCTTCGACGCAGTAATTGGGCGATTTGTACACATACAGCAGGTCTTCTTTCTGGATTGGTATTTTTCTCTGGCTCTTCTCTTTCCTGCGTAACTTTCTTTTCAGCTTGTCTGATATCTGTATGCTGTTTTCATACTTATCCTTTAAAAACCGGCCAATCTTTTCAAAGGAGGACATGGTTTTCCAGCAAGTTTTCACAGCGCACGACCCAGAAACACCGTGACACCGGCAGTCCACTGACATCAGCTTTGCTACAGCCTGAAAGCAAAGGGAGAAGACATTTGGACGTAGTCTTTCATTCATTGGGAATACGGCCCGATACCACTAACCCAGATGTCTCTAACTATTTAGTACTGCTAGTGCCAGCCAGACCACAGGAAGGTGCATTTTATGAACCAGGTTTCTACCTACAGACTTCCAGCATGAGCAACCCAATGGCAGAATGATTGAGGTTGGCAGGGAGACCTGGCACAACCTCTGCTCCAGCAAGGATGCCCGGTGCAGTGTGCCCAGGTCCACAACCAAGCGGCCATTGAAGATCTCTGAAAAGGAGACTGCACAGCCTCTGGGCAGCCCACGCTGGTGCTCAAAAGATCTCCAGAAATGACCTACATATACACCTTGCAATGGCAATAACCAAGGAATATCTAAACGCCAATATTAGAAGTTTGTATTTCTCACTAGCTTTTCTTTCTGAATAGCAAATGGCTCTTGTGGGGAACAGCAGGAAGGGAAGCAGCATAAGGACAGCTAACAGCACCATTCCTGAGATGGAAGAGTTAGATTCTGTGACATCTTCTAAGGGTGCCTTGAGGCTACCATCCAGATCACCAGTCACAATGCAGTCTGTGACCAGTGACAGGAATGGCTTGAGGTGCCTTAGGAGCGTCTGTGTGACCAGTGTATCCCAGCAGCTGAACCCACAGATTCCTGGAGTGCCCTGGAGCACGGTAAGTGGGTACTTTCATCCCTGAGCTGCAGGGAAAAGCCATGGAAGGAGACACTGCGGCTCTGCAGAAAGATCTTCAGCTCAGTCTTCCGTAGTAAATCTGAGGTGTTTCTTATAGTGACGAACCCCTCATCTTGAAATGTAGCATACACATACTGCAATGGATTTCCACTGATTCCAGTGCCCTTAAATGGGCACACATCTATGCTCAGATGGATGCAAGCAGTGGGCTGCACAACAGCTATCCAGCCAGCAGTGGGAATCTGCAGCCTGTGTTAAGTTTTTGTAACACGCAAGAGTTTTGGCACATTTTATATGAAAGCAAGACTCCAAGAACTTGAAACTGTAAACAAGCAATAACTTCCTTTATCTGGGACTGTAATTCAGACAGTTAGCAGGCAACCAGCATCGTACTTCCTTCTAGAATAGCTAATAGTCATGGTATAAAATTATACAGTTAGTCTTGTGATACACTGCAGTTAGGAAAAAGTTAAGGAAAAAAATAATTGCATACAAGATATAGCAAAAGAATAAGGTATTATAATTTGTGCTTTGTTTTACCTTTTCATTTTTTGCATTCTTTGTAGCCATCTGTGGGCTCACATGGGCTGATGGTTAATATCGTGTAAAGTCATGCTACACTGTTCCTTTTTATTGGCCTTCTGTCTCACATTTCTTTTCCAAAATAAAGGTAGTTAGAAAACGTAATGGAAAGAGAGAATTTTAGTTTTTCTTAAAACTTCTCATGCAGCAAAGCCAATACAGATTCAAAATATTTTTCTATGGGGGAAACATTATTTCTTACAAAGGAGGGAAAAAAAAATAATTTAAAAAAATCATGCTGTTTATTAAAGCTCACCCGAAATCTTCAGCTTCAGCACCCAGTAACACAGACAGTAACCACTGACAGTCTATGTTTTCATCAAAATATCTTAGGAAAGAAAAAGGAGAAAAGAAACCCATCTAACACTCTTAGCTTTCCTAGGGGAAATCAGTTGAATTTGTACTTGTTCTCAAGTCCAGATCCCGTGTTGAGAGCAGAGCCCTGGGAACCTTGAAACTGATCATAAATATTATAGGCAATTTACAAACAGAAGGGATTTAACAGTTTTCCAATTTCTAATGATCGTTTATTTGCACCACAGCAAGTAACTGAAGTGCTGAAGTAGTTTGAAACCACATTGTGCTGTAAGTCTTGTAGTTACAGATGCAATGTTAGTCTTCACTGCAGCATGACAAGGTGCTAACTAGGGAAGAAACGATAGAATGGGAAGAAACACAGGGTTTGGTTTGAAGAAGAAAAATGTACTTCAAAGTCTGCTATGACAAGACACAGTAAAACCTGGATGAGGGAGAATGATTCAGACATTGTCTGGGGAAGTCCTGAACGTATCTGCCGGGTGTTAATGGAGAGTGACTTCCATGTGGGCAGCTAGTCCAGCAGTGACACTCAAGAGTCTTTCTCTGAGGATAAATTAATGAAAACTAAAGAGAGACAGATTCTAAACAGGAGTGGAAAATGATATTGGAGTCTTGGGTTAATGTCAAAGTATAAAAAAAACAGCATACATTAGCTATATATGAAACATCAGATCAGTGTGAATGCTACCAATATACATCTGTGTGGAGTCATTGAGAATATACGCTGCAACCACAAACATTGGTATTCTTGTTCAGCAATGGCTTTGGCTTCTTCCATAAAGTTTTGATGTAATCTGCTTTCAAATGATTGATGGTGTCATCACAGTTGTGCTTGACCCCAGGTTACTGCTTCCCAGCTGCTAGAATGGGCAGGTTTTCTGGTTGGACGCCAACATATTTTGGGCCAACTCTGCTGACAGTCCTGCAAGCTGACATCTTGCTTTGGCTGATTACAAAACACAGGCCTGGACCTCAGGCTGTCATGTGATCTCCATTAACAAAAGTTGAACATCTGGCAAAATTTAGAGACTGGGAATCTTCTTTTGCTTTTTTTTCTTGGAAACAAATCTAATCCAGTGCCTACAGAGCTGACACAGCCTTCTGTGAGGACATGGCTACAACACACTCTAGTGCCCAGAGAAGCATAATTTCCAGCTTCACTCCCCAGCTGGTGCTTGGTGTCACATCTCTAGGTTCACATGGGGAATATTTTCAGTTATTCATGAAATACTGGGACAGAAGTCTTCCTAAATAGCAAAACTTCAATACAGATGTTAGGATGCACACTGCTGATCACACAAACACAGTGGACACATGTCCACCAGTACAGGATGGGACATTTTTTTGGTTTCCTTAGGTTGGTCATGAAACCAAGAAGGCTGTTTGCTTGTGAGAAATGAACAGCGTAGAACCAAGACAGGTCTACGATGGTCATATTCAACCACAAGCCCACATGCTTGCCTTTTGCTGACCCTAAGTTGTGTTGGTGCTGGCAGAAGAGAAGAGTTAAAGTGTTAAACTGGACATAGTGATCAACACTGGTCTGTGTTAAAAAAATAACCTAAAAGAAGACCATTTTTAGGTGACTTCCTTTCACTGATCTGATGTAATTAAGAGAGGGAGTGACATGGGGAGGGAAGGTGTGGCTGCAACAGGCAGATGGGCAGAAAGCAGAGATTTGGCTGCAGCTGAGTGTCAGCGGAATTGTAGTCTGTGTACCCCTTACTGCCAATCACTGCTGAATAACTCCAGGTCAAACCCTCTGTTTGCAGTCCCTATCCTCAGCTGCGAAGCTGGGACTGTGACCACCTGCTTTGCAGTGAAAACCAGCAACAGCAATCAAATATCTTAATTTAAGGCACAGATAGATGAGGAATACTCATGAAGATGAGCACATATTCTAATGGAGGTATAACACTCAAGAACAGTTGCAGACCGCTATCAATCCTCAAGTACCAATAAAAATTAACCCTCTGAGGAGCTAACCTATTTGCATGTGAGAAGATGAGTCCTCCAGGTCAACACACTTCACTAGTGTGTAATTGAACAGGAATTTTTCCATCGGTGGAAAAATATTAATACAGTAGTACCTATCTTTTTTATAAGGCAGCTCACATATGCATATCTGTGTACACTGAGCATTACAATGCCAAAAGATGAAGAATAATTATCTTATAGCAGAATAAGGAATGAAATACGGACCTTTTGATATAGTCCAGGTTAGTATTATAAACAAAGCACAACTCAGTCAAAGTATCATTACTCTTTTAGAATTGATATACCTTGGACTTAACTATGAAATGTAGAGATATAAAATGGGAAAGGAACAAGAGAATTCTCTGCATACCATTTCCATGAGTTACTCCAAACAAACAGTATTGTCCCTGGAAGATTGCTCTTGCAAGACACACAACCAGGAACATGATAGTATTTATTACAAAAGGTCATAAGGTACCAAAATGTATTGCAAAACATCCTTTCTGTAAGCCCCCAAACATGAAGGTCAGCATTTTCCAACATCTAGTCAAGGATTTTGAAATTAGAAGAATGAAGAGTTCTGCTAAACTTCACTTCAGTTAATATCACTACTAAAAATCCCAAGGACCAACAATAAATGTTCTCTTTCATCCTGGACAATGGTCAAAATATTTACTTCAGCCTACAGCTTGCTATTAAGTTACAAAATATTTATGCATGGAAGCTAACTGAATACTTTGCATATTTTCATCCACGATAACGAACAGTAAATACACCAGTGCTAGAAAACCATCAAAGCTAAGGATCTTCAGGCTTGCAGTGGATGGTGGGTTTTTCTTTTAAGTGAAGTTAACTTGAAAAAAAATGATCACATGCATCATATGCACCACATTTTATGAGAAGCCTGAAACCCTACTATGTCCTCAGGACCTGATGGACCCTGATGGGTCACTGTAGATGAGCTGATCCAACTTAAAAGACATTAGCTTCAAAAGAGAAGCTTCTTTTCTAGTTTAGGGAGATGGCAGTGTACTCTCTTTAAAGCTAACGTGACCCCAAACAGCAGGGCTGGCCCATCTGCGGTGGGCTGTAACCCAGTGTGGGTATGAGTGAGCTCTGAGTACAAAGGTAGTGCAGGAAGAATAGATGCTGTCACTGAAGGCAAGAGGACAGCAAATTGCTGCTGCTGCTGCTAAGTAAGAATAGAGGTAGAAGAGAGAACAGGGCTTCAAGGAAACAATCTGTGTCACTGCCACCTAAACTCAGAAATAACATCTCTTTTCCTCCAGAGTACATCAAGTGTCTTGCAGTTTGTTTCCAACATCTCCACTGTCACACTGATCTAAGAAAATGGCACTCTTTCACAGTTTTGTTTTACTGATTTCCACAAATTCAGTTCTATTCCTAAGTCTCTGGAATGGGAGACACAACAGAAGTCTCAGTATACATGAAATGCAGATTGGCAGGAGCAGACCAAAATGTCACTGTGGATTGTTGTTCTCTTTCTAATGACAAATATGACCATTAAAATAAAAATCTATATCTGTATTACATGCTAAATAACGTGAGTTTAAAGAGAGATTATTTTCTGGAGATTTTTACCTCCTCCCTTAATCATTTCTCTCTACAAATGCGACTAATAACCTCTTGCTCTTTTTCTAATGAATAACCACTTAACCTCCTCCCCTTTTGTTAATATCCCCCACTACACAATGCTAACCACCATCCCTTGGAGATGATTTTGCTCGCTGGCATCCAACTGAACTTAAAGTAACTGTTCTCAGCATCTTCTTAGTTTTCAAGTTTATTTCATAGAATTGGAGAATGGTTTGGGTCGGAAGGGCCTTAAAGCCCACCCAGTCCCAACCCCGTGTCACAGACAGGGCTGCCACCCACCTGCTCAGGCTGCCCAGTATCTCATACAACCTAGCCTTCAGTGCCTCCAGGGATGGAGCATCCACAGCTTCACTGGGGCCTCACCACCCTCTGAGTAAAGAATTTCCTCCTAACATATAATCTAAATTGCCCCTCCTTTAGTTTAAAGCCATTCCCCTTTGTCCCATCACTACACTCCCTGATATTGAGTATCTCCCCCTGTTTCCTGTAGGCTCCCGTCAGCTGCTGGAAAGCTGCTATAAGGTCTCTCCAAAGCCTTCTCCATGCTGAGCAACTCCAACTCTCTCAGTCTGTTTTGATAGGAGGTCTTCAGACCTAAAAAGGGTGTATGTCTCTCAAAGATTTTCTATTTTTCCAACAATATAACTTAATTAAATAAAATATATTACCTCATAACATGTAAAAGTAAGTTTACTTTAAAACAGCTTGCAGTGGTACCACCGTGGTTCTTTTTTGAAATGTTGGCTTACTGTGGCTATTCCCAAACCGTATCTGATAGGAAAGTTATTTTCTATAAAACACAGCCATGCTTTTTCTGAAATTTCAGACTTACAATGTCAGCCAGCAAGTGTGAACAATATGTTGTCCAAAACCAGAGGGTTACCATTTCTTTTCTTCAGTTACAGCAGTGCCACTGAGCAGAACAGATTTAAAGAATTACAGGGCCAGAGAGAGCCATCAAATGCTTATGAAGTCAAAAACTCCCGTGTAAAGCAGGGAAACTAATTTTAGAGCAAGAACCAGAATGCTCCGTCATTGCAGATGTAAACCTCAGCCACCTGATTTTGGACTCACATCACCTGTACTGGCTATTCCAGCCCCATTTATTGGGATTCTCTGCAGACCTGCACAGAGGAACCAGTGTCCCACACTCATGCGCTGTGTGATGGCAGGAACACTAACTCTGCTAGCAGGGCTTTAAATTCTCCTGGAAGAAGAAGATCTATTTGAAGCCAACCTTCTCTCTTTGCCTCGGTTAGTGCCCTAGCCAGCGGGCTGCTTTAAAGTAGGACCCATCTTTCAAAAGAAAGGGTTAAATCTCCTTTTCCTCATTGATCCTACATTATTGCCCACAGATAAGGACCCCAGACTGTGGATCCCAAATGAGTGATGATCTCCAGTGAGTCTGTTCATTCATCATTAGAAAGAATTAAAAACCTGAGCAATAACAGATTACAGATAATAAGGGAAAAAAATCTTCAAGTAGTATTCTGATAATGAAACTAGTTAAAGTTTGCTATGCAATAGAGTATCAATTATCTATTATTTGTGAGCACCTTGACCAGCACTCCAGAATCAACTTGTATTTTGTGGATTTTATCTGAACCCACAAAGTTTACTTAGTTAAGAACAACTTGATTCTGGTTTTGTAAGTGTTGACTTTGGAAGAGTCAGCCCAGTTCTTGCCACTTGTACCTGCAGTCAAGGACCAGTCTCACTTGACTGATGCCATTAGTGAACAGAACGAAGCTACCATGGCTTCCATGCTCAGCAGCAACACGTACCTGCCTCCCAGCCTCGTTGTTGTGCAGGTTCATCGCCAGCAGCCCGTTGCCACTTTTTCCTGACGCATTCCTGATGGGTGCATCCAGGAAGCTCCTGCTGAAGGACATCCCATAGTGGATGTCATCGGAGCAGCCACCCCAGTGCCAGCCCTCGCTGGCCGAGCCCCCGCCCTGCAGCTTGGTGTCACAGGAGCACTCAGTCACGTTTCCTGCGCTGCAGGAGCGGGTCACAGCATGCACCAGCCCTGCTGCCGTCACTGCATACACAAACGCGGACTCCTTCGTGCCTGCAAGGCAATGCAGGGCTGTTAGCTCACGGCTCCCTCGCACTGCATCCTGGCGGAGCTGAGGGAACCGATTTTACCAGCCAGAACATTATTAAAAGGGAACAGTTCTCAACTTAAAGTTGTCACAGCTTGGTCTGCAGAGTTAATTTGTTTAAAGAAGCCATCAATATTTACACCCAGAAAAAGACTTCAGTGCCTATTCATGTGGCTGTGCTATTAATTCTGCTGCTTCTGGCTGCTTGATTCTTGGTAACTGCTTTCTAAATCTGGTTGGGAACTTTATTGGTCAATGAAACCTTTGAGCCAATTAAGCTTTAATCAAAACAAAGCACAACAAAAAATCCTCACCCAGCTAAACCCCTCTTACTCTTTGCCCACTCTGATTTTCACTGTTTGTATCAATTGGATGAAGAAGTTAGTTCAGATCTTGGAGAATGAACTTCAAGATGTCAAGATCCCGGGGTAATTTGGTACGAAGCCGAAATGTACTTCATTTTCAACTGAGCAAACATCGAGGTTGCCATAACACACAAAGCATACAGCCCCCTAATTCTTAAACCAGGCAGTAGTTGGGATGGCACAAGAATATGTTGGCCAAGTGTGCCTCCAAGGGTAACCTGGCCATGGCAAGGATAGCAGCTCACAAAGCTGTTATCTGCTCCTGCTATATCCAAAGAATCATGGACACACTTGCTTGGACCTCTCCAGGGATCCTGGCACAAGTGGCACACAGCACCATACACTCTGTAAGCAAACCTAAAACCAATCCCCAGCTACTAACTGCAGATAACATTTCCCTGTGCTAATTTCCACTGTTGTAAAAACACCCTGCTATTCCCAGTCCCAGTACTCCTGCTCATCAACTGGAACCTTCTTGCTCCTTTTTCTTTTCCATGTCAGCCTGTGGTGCCAGTTCCATCACAAAACCTTTCCCTGGGACACAACAGTGGCTCAGCAACGTCACACAGCTGTGGGACTTTAGTGGCAGTTTTTCCCATTGGCCAGAAGGACAAACCAGCAGTGCAACCAGCCACATAAAGAAGAGTGAAAATCTTGCTCCCCTCCCCATTTTGGAAAATATATCTCTTTTTATTGCTTATTTTATGATTTTTTTTCCCACTCCTGTAGTATAAAGCGATGATTGCACAAAACTGGGACGGGGTGCTGCAATACTTAATGGAGCTCACGTTGGTGGCTGTGCTGAAATCAGCGAGCAGCCCTCAAAGGAAACCCGTAGAAGTAAGGCTCTCAGACTGCCATTCCATACAAACACAAACTCCCTTTTTGTGTGTAAATCTCAGCAGTTCCATCATCAGTTCATGAGGTGGGAGCAGCGCTGCTCTGGCTGTGCTGAGCGCTACCTCTGACCCAGTGCATGTGCTACGTTTTAAAGTAATTCCTGTTCAGTTTGGGGTGTGAGCAGATTTCTACCTGCAAGCAAGCACCTTTTTGAAACCGTGTGTCACCCATTTAGCAATCGTGACACAAGTAAGGGCACAGCAACCTCAGCCTAAGAATAACATTTCAACATAGTTAAGTAGATCTACTTCAAGGCGCCGTCATCCCCGGGAGCGTGAAGCAGAGGATGACAACAGGTAGCAGCAGCAGCTCGGCCAGACAACGCGGGCAGCCCTCGGGGCGACACTCACCGCTGTTCAGCTGCTGCCCGAAGGCGGCGGGCGGGCGGCGCGGGGCGGCGGGCGGCGGGCGGCAGTCCCAGCGCTCGTGTCGGAACTGGCTGCGGCACTCCTGGAGGCCGAGACGCGCTCCCTCCCGGATGGCGGGCACCAGCTCCGGCTTCTGCCTGCACAGCTCCTGCTGCCCGGGGCTCAGCGGAGGGCTGGCGCAGCCCGGCTTCTCCGGCCCGCCGGCGGCCGCGATGCCCAGCCACCTGCGGAACAGCCCCGTCAGCGCCGGGACCGGCGGACCGGCACCGCGCTGCCCCGATCCCCGCATCCCCGCGCCCGGCTACTCACATCCATGTGCCGCCCGCGGCGCCGGGGCAGAGGGCGAGCAGCATCGCCGCCCGCAGGAGACTCCGACCGAGGGCGGCCCCGCGCCCCATGGCCGCGCATCGAGCCCCTACTCGGCTCCGTCCTCCGCGGGGACAGCCCGGGTCGGCGAGGAGGGCGGCGGGCGGGGAAGCATCGGGAGAGCTTTATTCCCTTCAAGGTGAGAAAGTTGGGCTTGATGCTTTCCCCCGGGCCGCTCCCGGCTCTGCCTCCTCCGGCCGCGCATTGGCCGCCCGGGGAGCGGGGCGGGCCGGGGCGGGGAGCGGGGAACTGCGCACCGATCCGCACCGCTCCGCACCCGCCGCCCGTTCCTCTCTTCCTCCGGGACTGAAGCTCCTGGGGGCATGCTGGGGGAGTGCAGGCGCCGCGGGGTGTGCTGCAGGCATTGGGCCGCAGCGATCATGCACAGAAAGGAGGCGTAAGGAGAGGTGGTCGTAAATCAGAATTTTTCCCACAGGTTTTATTTAAATTTCCCAGAGCTTTCGTAGTGCTCGATAACTGGCCATAGAGCCAGCATCACTGCTCATTTGCCCAGTCCTGTTAACTTCGTTCTAAGACTTATCAGCTAATTTAGTATTTGCTAATCGCTTGTGCAAAGTCTTGGGCAGAAAGCTACCCTCAGCTCATGCATGCAGAACATCATCGGCACCCGGGGCTTCCAGGTCTGCTTTGCTCCGATGTATGTGCACTGCACACAGCCCGTGTCACAGGGCAGCTCCGGGCAGGCTCTGGTATGGCACAGCTGTAAATGAATGACATAGCTCCTGCTGAATGACAATAGCACTAAGCAAAGAGCAAAATAAATCATCTCGACAGACGGTTTTTAAGAGCACGGCATGTAGAGAAATAATTGGATGAATGTGGTGTTCACCCTGCGTTTACTAGTGGATGTATTGAGATATTTCAAGAGTGTTGGCTGGGGTACAATCAGAGCCATAAAACTGTCTCCTTCGTACTTCATTTGCCTACGCTTAAAGGGTCTCCACGGCATCGCTGGTGCTGGGCAGATTCCACATGATCCAACAAGTCATTCAAAGCTTCCATCGCAGCTCATTTCTCTGCTCTCAATTCCAGCCTGGTGAACATCTGCTTGCAGTTGCAGAGGAACATTGTCCAGAGTGAGGGAAGGGACAGAGGACCATGCTGGGGCACAGGGAAAGGCCTGAGCCAGTCAAGCTGCATGGGAGCCAGTCAAACAGTGAGGGAACTGCTCAGTTACCCTCACTGCTGCTTCCTGGCTCCACCTATTGAAGTAATTCAAAGCCCTTACCTGGCAATGCTGTATTTCTCATTCCCTTCTTAATCTACTTGTTGCATCAATCAGCTATTCTGATTATTTTTTTTCAGCCTTTTGTTTTAACTGGGTTCTTGTCTTGCTTTCTCTCTCTCTTTCTCTTTAATTAGTCTGGAGCCTTTGATTTTAAATTCCTATGTTTGAGATTTTGTCTAAAAGCTGCAGAATCTTACGTTCTAGCAAAAACTTACGTAAAAATTTATTTAAAAAAGCAGTGATTTGAAAAATTCCAAATTTATTTGTGTAAGATCTTATCCAGGATAACTTAAAAATTCTTTTCCCGGATCCCCTGTGCTGGGATCTGATTTTGCCTACATTCTATGCTATTGTAGCTATTAGGTAGTTAAGAAAATGTTTTGATTGTATACACTGGTGTAGAGTGAAACTGCAATTTGAAGGGCTGATGCTAAAGAGTACATATTTTGAGGGACCTCTGGGTATCTTTCAGTTCACTCTGTGTAGGATTGGAAGCAGGACAAGTTTTTCCGTGAGCATCTGATTTTAAGAAGTTTGGATTGCTGCATTTGTTTGTCCCAGCCATCCATCTGCCTCTCTTCCTGTTTCCAACCACTACCCCTCTGCCCACAGCCCTGCACCTCCTTTCTGGCTGCAGTGGTGTGGTCATCCACCAGAACACCGGCCTCTTCCCTGCTCCTGTCCTCACTTTCCTCTCTGCCATTTGCATCGTCTCTCTGCTTTGTTCCCTGGGCATAAGCAGCACAGCCAGGATTGGCTGGTGCTCCAGAGCACCTTGTTCAGGAAGGCCATTCCCTCCATCACAGACAGCAACATGAGTGTGGTACAGAGACTACGAACAGGGGTCCGACAGAGGTCAGTTACTGAGCATGAGTCATCAAAAATTGATATAAATGAAGGAAGATAAATCTGGTTGATTGCTTATTTAAAGTTCATTGTCCAAGGTGGGGCTTTCTTTTCCTATTCATACTAAAATGCCCACAGTTTTCTGTTTTAAAAAGAGGACAATAAACTGTTGTTCAAGAAAAATCAAGAAGAAAAAAGAAGGAAATGTGTCTCAGTGGAGTGGCGTTTCCTGACTTGGCATTTATAAATGTGCTGTTTAATTATGATTAATATGATCTTGACAGAGTTGATTGCAGATATATAATTTTATTTTTTTTTTTATTTCACTTTATTCTTTGTTAGCTAAAAAAAAGCACTTCACTGTGTGGAATCTGTATACATAAGTGGATCACTCAGCAGATAATATATCTGGAAGCTGGATTAAATATCTCTTAATGCAGTTGATGGATACTGTTGTCACTATAACGAAGGCCTGCCGTCCCATTTACTAGGCACAAGAACCTCTAAAGTTAAACACTCTCATGTTTCCCTAAACAAGTCACCACTTTTGGAAGTTGTTTGGAAATTATTTTGGTTCAAGTGATTTTCTTTATTCTGGAACTTCTGATGCCCAAGCAGAGTCACCTAAATGTCAGCACCACTTGGCATTCTGCATTATCCCTCCCACACACATGGGCCCTACTGCCCCGGGGGGACAGCATCCCCTTATCTTAATGAACTGAGCACAAAGCCCACTTTCTAAACAGAAGTATTTCCCACATTCTCTAGATTAGGTCATTCCTTCAGGTATGAAATTAATTGTGTGTGGTGGCACAAATTACAGTCTTCTAACTCATCAAATATGCTTTCAGTCCACCTCTAGTCCACCATGATGGCATCAGCCAGCATCAGGAGCCTGGAGGGTGCTGAGATCAGGCACTGAAGGAGCTGGAACCATTCCAGCATGAGGTGTTGTACTTAGAGCCCAAGTCTGTTGGCAGCAACATGCTAATCTGAGGAAAACTCCCAGACTGTTTCCAAGTATGGTGTACCAGCAGAACCAGGGTGGAGGATGCAGTGCTGCTCAGCCTTAAGTGTCCTCAGTTGGAAGGGACAAAAAGAGCTGTTGAGTTGGTGGTTTTAAACAGCTGTGAACTCACCTGACAGTGAATCATTCATTGCAGGACTGTACCCTGATGGCACAGTGTTCTCAGTTCCCAACACACAGATCTGCACATTGGGCACCTGCAGAACCTGATAGGCCCAGCCCATCCCAGCCTCCCCTTGCCTTGTCCCTGCCTCCATCCCCTTCCTCCTTGACTGTAGGAGGAAGCAAAGGTGTGCAGGGAGACCTGACATCTCAGGACAGGGTTCCCAACACCCCCACTGCAATATCTGTGAGGTTATGTCTCAGCAAACAAGTTTTAGGCCTTCAGTAATGCCAGGCTGGCAGCAGAAGGGCAGACATTTGAATTTTGAATTCCCATTCCAAGCCCCCCAAGATCTCCTCTGTCCAGAGGTTTAAAATTGTTCTCAGTTTCACTATTTATTTATTTATGTCTTTTTTAGCTTATGTAGCCTGAAAGAATTTGCATGCATGGCTATTGTAGATCCAACACACTGAGTTTGCAGATGCCTGAAACAGCAATTGAAGTGCCTCTGGTTCATGGTGGCAGACAGAGACCTCACAAATACATGTAATGATTTAAAAGCCATCCCTTAATATTGTCTTTATAATCAGTGCACAGCACCAAATACAGACTCACATTTTCTATGTGCATTGTAAAAAAAGGGAAAAACAGGACTGGAAAGGCAAGGAGAAAACAGACCTCTCAACATCCTTTCCATTCCCTATTAATGTTCATGAGATCTCCAAGGAAGTCTCCTGGAGCCAATAACTTCAATGCCCATTGCTGAAGCAGTTGCAGAGCAGCTCTGCTGGCAATCTACTGGTGGTGGTGATGCACTGCCAGAGGGCTGGGCCTATGGCAGGGTAGGCTCAGGCTGGCTTTGGAGTCCAGATGGTCCTTTCCAGCATTCACAGAGAAGCTGAGATCTGCTTGCATTCTGGAAGCAGATCCAGATTCTTATAGAATCGTTTGAGTTGGAAGGGACCCTTAAGGGTTATCTAGTCCAATGCCCCTGCAACGAACAGGAACACCTACAGCTTGATCAGGGCGCTCAGAGCCTGGTCCAGCCTGAAGTGCTGCTGGCAAATTCTGTTCTCTGACACAGGCAGTCTAAATGTTGGTAATGTGTAGAGTTACTCCAGAGAGATATTTTTTGGCACGCCTGTATTAAGCAAAATGTGTCAAGGGAATGCTGATAAAGCTTCAAAGCATTACTAAGAAGGGTGTGAAAGATGCAAAAAAAAAAAAAAAACAAAAAAACAACAAACCACCACAGGTTTTAATTCTGACTCCACCCACATCCCACTTACTACTGAAAATTAAAATTAGTCATAACATCATAGTTAATAGCAGTGCACCTTTATGCCACCTATCGGTTTATCTTGTCTTGGGAAATAGTCTAGGAGGTGTGAGAATTGAGAAAATTTGCCTCAAGTTTTTCATAATACTTAAATTACTTTCTTTTTTTTTTTAACATGAAGTGTGTGAGATAAGAAGGTAAGAAGGTAATGTATCCGTTCATAAGGGTTTCTTTTATCATTGGATAGCTACAGGTCACCTCAAAGAAGCAAGTTTTAAGTCACTTCCTAATTTTTTCCTTGAGTTAGCTGTGGAAAGTCTGAATGTTTTCACTGTCTGTAGAAACATAAGCTCTTTCTCCAAACTTACTAAATCTTTAGCTTCAATGATATCTTGGAAAATCTAACTTGTTTAAAAAAACAAACTTGTTTTGTGTGTATGTGCAAGAGACAGACAGTTTTCTGCGTTTTGAACTTTCTATTTCATCATTCTCATCCTGAGAAATATGCACATACCTATGATATTCAGGATCTTGAGTATCTCTACTGTGCCTCTTCCCAGTTATATTTTCTTTCTGTGGACATTTCTGGGAATCCTCATGTCAGACCCTGGGCTATGTAATCCTTTTTTTCATCCATTCTTCTTTATGTTTGTCACATCTTTTTGCAGACATCACATGGCACATGCTCTTCAGACACTCAACTGTTTTACAAAACGTGAGCAGAGCACCCTGAGATTTTGTATCATAATAATACAACACCTCTGTGC